ACCCCTGGGGTAAATAACATTAAACAGATCTTTTTAAAAATAGCAGAGTCAGCCGGGTGCAGTGGCTCACAACTGTAATCCTAGCAGTCTGAGAGGCCGATGCAGGTTGATGGCTTGAGCTCACTAGTTTGAGACCAGCCTGAGCAGAAGCAAGACCCTGTCTCTACTAAAAATAGAAAAACTGAGGCAAGATGATGGCTTGAGCCTGAGTTAGAGGTTGCTGTGAGCTATGATGCCATAGCACTCTACCCAGGGCAACAACTTGAAACTCTGTCTCAACAAATAATAACAGAGTCATAGTTTTGGCTGGGTGTGGTGGCTCATGCCTGTAATCCCAGTACTTTGGGAAGCTGAGGTGGGAGGACTGCTTGAAGCCAGGAATTTGAGACTACCCTGGGGAATATACCAAGCCCCTATCTCTACTAAAAAGAAAAAAATTGGCCAGGAATGGTGGTACAGGCGTCAAGTCCCAGTTACTCAGGAAACTAAGGCAGGAGGACTGCTTGAGCTCAGGACTTGGGAGTTTGCAGTGAGCTATGATCACACCACTGCAGCACTCCAGCCTGGGTGACAGAGCAAGATCAAGTCTCAAAACAAAGAAATTTCAAATTGGAAGAGGCCTCTGAGTCTAAGTCCTATTTGGGTAAGTCTCTTCCACACTGCAGCTTCTGCTTTCAGCAGCAGTGAGTTCTATAGGATGGTCTCTTCCACAGGTGAACAATAGTGATTTTAATCAATATCACAGATCCAGTCCAGGTGAGGGAAGAACTGAATACCAGCATGGCCAAGACAGCAGCATGGCAGGAGGCAGGTGGAAAACAGGCTATGTGAGAGGCCTTTATGAAGATAGATTCAGGCAGATGTGGCCTGAGAATCTGTCTCTTATTAAAAAAAAAGTGATCATCAAGTAAATGGCTTTGTTGAAAGTTTTATCTTTTTTTAGAATTTGTATTCAAAAAAGAAAATGTGATTCTAGAGAGCCAATACTTTTTCAAATATGAGTAACTGTAAGTCCATAGGGAATAATGCCCTCAAGGGTACACATGGTAAAGTAATAAACACAGGCCTGCCCTGCAAGCTCAGAGCCAGAACAGAGAATAATGAAGGAGGCTGATAAACATTCAATCAGGACACATTAGTAGTCCTGGATTATAACTTGGCAGTAGCCATGGGGACCTTCTTGTAAAATGCAAACATACCCAGAAGTGAGTTTTTGAGGTAATTACTTATTTATAATTTTCTGAGTTTTAAATCAGACCATAAAAAAATTGAAGACTATTTTCTTCCAACATGTAAAAACCTTACAGAAGGGCAAAGGGAATATTGATTTGGTAAGAGGGGCAAGAGAGGTCCATGCTTCTGAGGATACTCAGGCAAAAACTGAAAAGAAAGCAAGAGTGCACCATAACAGCCTGCCCACTGCAGCATTTTGTCCAGAGCTCTGTAGCCCCTCAGCACCCCCAGAACCACAATGTCTTGGGCTCCTGAATCCATATTTGCAGTTCAGAAAGATAGACAGGGTACACCAGAGGTGGTTTCTATAGGCTAGTTTGAGAAAGGACAATGAATACCTTTTAGAACATTAATTCAATGAAAATTATTTTTTATATTTCAAGATTCCGAGTTACAAAAAATGCATAAGTGGATTGGAGACTGCAAAGCCTAGAGTCTGTGTCAAAGACAAGTTCACTTGAAGGAATTAAGCATGGATGTGTGTAGGAGTTCTCCACCAGGCTATCAAATACAGTACCACTTGTTACAGTGGAAATTTGTAAAGAACGTAAGCCAAAATCACTGCATGTATATGCTGGCAAGGCTGTGGACCAGATATATAGACAATATCCTCTGGATCTAGACAGTTTGGCAGCCCCTAACCTCCATGTTCAACAGTAAGGTTCTGGTTCAATTATGATCTGCCTATACAATTGGATACAATGAAATCATTATAAATAATATGGAGAAAACTAGTATGCCCTGAAAAAATGCTATTGACACGAAAAGCAGTATATACAGTATGATCCTATTTTTGTAAAAAACAATCACACACATCTACAAAACAATCACACACATCTACAAATAAAGACTGATAGGAAATACACTGAAATGCACACTGGTAGTAATAAGCTTAATTTTTAAGCTTTTCTGCTTTTTAAAAGTTTCTGGCAATGAAAAGGAAATCAAGGGATTATTGTTTCTCAGCCTTTTGGCTAAGATCAAGTGCAGGAAATCAAGGGGAAATACATGAGCTAGTAGACTTAGTAACAAAGAAAAGTGGGGAGGGAACTTTTCATTTCTCATATGCCATCAATTAAATCTATGGAGTAATATACTTACTCAGCCATGAGTTTCGCTATCCGGTGACAGTCATTCTTGTCATAAAACCAGATACTGTATATTGACACTTGAAAAACAAAGAAAAAAAAAGATAAGGGGAAAAGAGGTTT